AATTTGCTTTCAAATTGCAGGACTTCTCCAACGGGGTGGGGGGGCGGTACATGTGACCGCCCCTCACCGAGGCTCATGGGGGGGCCCGTCCACCCCGAATTCCTGCCGCTGCCATGGTGAAGGTGACTATCTCAAAGGTGATATTTGAAGGTGAATTTTCAGCTTCTGGTTTCCAAGTACCCTCATCAGTTGGTGAATAACGGAGAGGCTGGAACAGGAGCCCATGGCGGGGTCTCGCTGAAGAATCAGCCGGATCGGGCCAAGTTCATGCAGGGAGTTCCAGTCTTTGGGGGGCGACGCTGTATGCAAGACATGAAGGCCACGGGCCTCCTTGCTGGGCGTGGACAGGTAGGCTGCCACTGAACATGGAGGCTCTTTGGCACATCCCAGCTCACTAGGTAAGGGGGTGAAGGACGAAAACTGTGGACCTTCCTTCGCAGGTTGGGATCTATGCTGAATGTAATGGTGCCCCCTCCCTCCTTGCAGTTACACTGAGTAACCCAATCTTGGGATACTCAATGCTTTGGGAACTGGGCAGTCTTGAGATGCTACAGCTGGGATAGGCTGCCTTTTGGGGCTAACGGGCACCAGTTTCCTCTCCCAAGGTGGCTGGGTGGGCGGGCAGGGCCCGCAAGTGGCCCAAAGGCTGCCCCAGGCAGGATTTGCCCATTCACAAAATGCCCCCCCTTGGGGAGTGGGCAGAGCTGCTCATTTGCATAAGGGCTGACCCATTTGCCCATTCACAAAATGCATCTTCCCCCCTGCCGGGAGGTGGGCGTGGGTGCCAATGCGAGGCTGCCATGCTTGGGTGGGGGAGGCGCACTCACAAAATGGCTGATCCAGTTTCTCTTCCCATTTAGGGAGACCTTGTTGGCCCTAAGTATTGGTGGATCCCAGCTCAATCCTCTTCCTTGCCAGTGAAACCTCCATGGCTCAGCTCAAGCTACCTGCCACACAAAAATAACCAGCGTGGCCTACCTTGCAGGGTTGTATCCACAGCCCCCGCCTTTCCTAACTTTGCACGTGCCTTCGGGCGGCCGTTCCCAGCCAGCCCACCCCCTGGGACCAGAGTAAGAACCCCAATATGTGTGTGTGAATTCCAAAGGGGTTATTATTCCCCCCACCATGGGGCTTGCAGACTTTGTTCCGGCTAGCCTAGCGCTAAGTACAAAGCCTCTAAAGAAGCCATCAAAGCACGCGATCGATACGGGTTCCTTCTGGCAGTCACAAGCCTGTTATTGATAAGAGCGTGATAGAGAAGGAGCTCCGGGCCCTCTTTGTTCTGATAGAGAAAACCCCGGTCAACAAATCCAAACGCAATAAAATAATGGGACCGATGGCCGCTCTCGGGCAGCCATGCAGAAGCGTCAACAGCAAACCGTCTTCCCTCTGCAAGGCTCCGGGTGCCAACCTTCCCACCTGGCACATTCAGCAGAAAGGTGGGGTATGTCCCACAGCAAGGGGTTTCCTTGTGGTTATGGAAAATCCTTGATGTTTTCCAGGATCCCCTGCCCGCCTCCACAAGGTGTCCCTGGGTCCTGAGTCACCCAAGGGACAATGGTGTCTTTCAGCGCCAGCCGAGAGCCGGGCCAGGGTGAGTCAGCCAGTGTGTACCACTGCCGCTTTTATCAGATGCCCCAGCCTGACCTGGATGGGAGCTCCGCAGCCCAAGATCTGGCTGGGTATTCAGGCAAATATGTAAAATTCAGTGTGTGCAAGGTCACGTTTCAAAGGTGGGACTATTAAGTGTTTTTCTAATGGCTGAGGAGCAGCGATCAATCACCTCTTTGCTCAGCCCGTCTAGAAAAAGAAAAAAAGGAGATAAGGAGATGTTTTCTTCGTGCATTTCATGCAGGAGTAGTTTGAAAACAAAGCGAGTTGTAACTTCTTGGCAAGTCCAGGGAGATCCTCAATGGCAACCTTGACTTTCCAAACTGGGAACTGACCAGTTAATTGGACCAGCTCACCTGGCAGCACTAAGCCAACTTTGGCAGATCTCAAAAAAAAAAAAAAAAACCCTAAGATAGGTTGAACCTAGCTAGTCTTGGATAGGAGACACCAGGAGATCTCGGGGTTGTCCGTGAGACTGGGAAATCAAAACAGAATCCTGGAAGGAGACAATTGCAAACCACTTTTGTATTCTTGCCGAGCAATTGCGTTTAACTTAAGGAAGTTTTTACCTTGCTTTTATAGACTTAGCTAGCATGTTTAAAAAAAACAAAAACAAGAGGATAAGCTGCCAAATCTTATTTTATATGTCTTAATTTGTGAGACTATTATCCTGCTTTCCTCCAGGAGCAAAACTCAAGCTAGAAAGGACTCCTTCCTCCAGTTTGAACCTCACAGTGACAACCCTGTGAGGTTGGCTGGGCTGAGAATGAATGGCTGGTCCAAATTCAGTTGATAATAAAACCCAGGTGCTCTGTTCACACAACGTGCTTGTGCCAAAACCAATCGTGCACATTAGGGCTTCACTCAGTGACTTGGTTCATCCACCATAGCAAGCCAATGACTGGGTCTTGCTACATACAGAACCACAAACTCCTCAGACATAGTATGAATCAGTGTTTCTCAACCTTGGCCACTTTAAGATATGTGGACTTCAACTCCCAGAATTTCCCCGGCCACCCCTCTGGGTGGGGGAATTTTGGGGGTGGAGTGCTCACCCCCTTAAACAGGCCGGGGGGGGAAAACAACGGATTAGGGGA